GGTCAAGACACTAGAACAATCTGTACAATGGGACAACAGCATCAGGGATGGTACCTCATGCTTACAGTTACAAACAATAACATACAAAGGAACAATGCATGGTCTCCCTCATGTCACTTCCGCTAAAATTACGCAGAGCTATGGTCTAAGATTATAAATCCAGCTCTCAGATATCATCAGTAACAAATTTATAATTTTCATAGATTCATTGGTTACAGAAGCCAAAATAGTATTTCACAAATTTCTGAAAATATAATCATGAGTCTAGACTTTTATCACATTTTGTTGCATACATCACTATAGATCATATTTATTATATTCTTACAATCTACTGACTGGAAACACCGTTAGGCTGACAGGATACACTTATCTGTAATTGTTCTTATGCCCAGAAATATATTCTCTCTGTGTACTGTCTACTGAAGCAGAAGTTTGACACTAAATTTCCATTCTGTGTAACTTCAGCAAAAGTGACACTGATATAAGACTTGCAGTCATTATTTTCCCCTTCAAATAAGATATATCTGGGAACAATCATGCATCTTCTGTACTCTGAAATATTCTTGAAAATTAATATGTTATGACAGGCAGTGATTAATCTATATATAATATTCAACTGTTACAGTTTTATCACCTTTACATATACTTTATGCAATAAAGAATCAGTGTCAACTCATGATATCTACCAGAAAAACTAAGCACAGAGCTTACCAACTTTCTATGCTCCAAGACATAACAAAACAACAGAATGCAGCAGTTATATAAACTTCTAGACTATGCAGGGCATTATCTTGTTAAAATTCAAATTTTAAATTCAACTAAAATGATTCATGATTGTGAATATTACATTTCCTTTTCTGAAGTCAATAAAGTGTTGATTTAATACTCTACTATATTCTCTTCTTTTCACTAAGATACAGAAGGCTCTTCAGTAGATGATCTACCACGTCAAAAACCATACTGATACTCAATAATTTAAACTGTATGTGGAATAAAATGAGACAAGAGTTATAAGATAAATATGGCCTAAAATAAAGGTGATATCACACAAATAATTAACATTTTTCCGCCTTCACAAAATTTGCAGGAAATACTTTTAGTTGACTTTATTCAATATTTTTGGATGCTCAATACTAACACAGGGGCACGAGGTAGCATAGTTGGTTGAGGCACTATGCCACAAGCCGGAAGGTCATGGATTCAAGTCCCGATGAGGTCACTGGATTTCTTTTAATTCACCTAATCCTTCCAGCAGCACTATGGCCCTGGGGTTGACTCAGCCTCTAATAGACATGAGTACCAGGAATATTCTTGGGGGGTAAAGGGCAGCCAGCGCATAGGGCTGACAACCTTGCTGCCATCTATGAGCCGATTGTCTAGAAAATGTGGGTACCTCAACATCTCACAACACTATGGGCTTCCACGCCTGTTGCAGGGATACCTTTACTTTTTTACTTTTACAATACCAACACATTAACTTCCTTTATTGCTAAAAACAAATACCTCACATTTCCTACACACTGCATAGTTTGAGGTATTACAAGCTCCATGGTTTCAGTCTGCAAGCGAATTATATCGACTGAGCGACTGCCACTTGTCAGCAAAGTTAGTGCCAACTTTAGTGGATAGAGGGTGTTGCATGGTCAGCACAATAAATCTCCATGGATGTTAATTTCGGTTTTCCAGACTGGAGCCGCTATTTCCTTGAAATAGCTCTTCAATTATCCTCATGAGACCATGTGGACCCCATTCCAGACCCACTACTTCTCAGAAAATCTGGTAGCACCGGGAATCGAACCCGGACCTCTGGATCTGTAGCTAGGATCTCTGACCACTAGACCAAAAGGCGGTCAGTTTGAGGTATTAGAGACTACAATGTTCATAAAGCTTTAATCAGATCCACTTTTAATGTGTTACACTGTTTGCGACCAGACCTATTATACATCCTACAACTGTTACAGATTTACAGATTGATCTATCTAAAACCATCAACAATAAATCTAAACCAATTCTATATGCAGATGACACTAGTATAATATTTAAGAACTCTAAATTTGACAACTTTAAAAATGACATAAATATTGTATTTGAAGCCTTAAACAGATGGTTCGAAGCCAATTTACTCTCATTAAATTTTGATAAAACCCATTACATATCATTCACAACTAAAAACAACCACCAAATTGATCTGGACATCAGTTATGCCAACAAATTAATCTGTAAAGTACTTGATACAAAATTCCTTGGAATACATGTAGACAGTACACTGTCTTGGAAAATACATATTGAACAAATTATACCTAAATTAAATGCAGCTTGCTATGCGATGAGATCAATTAAGCCTTTTATGTCACAGGAAACATTGAAGATGGTTTACCATGCCTACTTTCATTCTATTATGAACTATGGATTAATATTTTGGGGGAACTCTTCACATAGTGTAATAATTTTTAAAATACAAAAGAATATAATAAGAATCATTACAGGATGTAGAAGTAGAGATTCATGTAGAGAATTATTTAAGAAATTAAAAATTCTACCGCTTCAATCGCAATACATATTATCGCTTCTCCTATTTGTTGTTTACAACAAAGATAAATTCAAATTAAATTCTGATGTCTATAACATGAATACTAGACAAAAATATAACTTCCACCTACCCTCATCAACTTTATCAGTATATCAAAAAGGAGTCTACTTTACTGGCATAAAAGTGTTCAACAATCTGCCACAAAGTATTAAAAACTTGGGCAATGATACTAAAAAGTTGCATTGACACTACATAGTCTCAATACTGAGTGTCATTAAATAACGAAATAAAGAAAAAAGTTGTAAGGTAAGCTGACCAGTGAATAATGAATTGGAAAGGATGTGGTAGGAGGCAGCAGCACTATCCCAGTATCTGCGTGAAAAACCATTAGGACAGCAAATATGTAGGCTGAGATTCAAACTGAGGACTTCCTAAATACAAATCAGTACTCTAATCACCTGACTGTGATATTCAGTAAAATAATACAAAGTTATCTTCAAGACTTTCAAAACTGGTGCAAGTGAATGCCACACATCTGCAACTTAGTATGAGACAAGCATGGAGAAATATCACAGGAAGATGGTGATCTGAGGCCAAAAACAGACCTCAAGTCAAACTGCTTCTGCTTTACATATCCTGCACCTTTAATTGTATTTCTAAATATTTTTGTGTCATAACATTCTCATTTTCTTACACATAACAAAATCAGAACTTCTGTTTTCTCAGGAGAATGAATGTGAATGAATGTATGAGGGGTAAAAGGTAAAGTTGTCCCTGTGCTTAACTTATTAGGCACTATGCCTTGAAGACACATGAGGGAGTGGATGTACAGAACCACATTTTCTTGACCTTGGCACCAGTTGGAGGTGAGTGGTCAGCTTCACGCCCGCGCTGCTTTACGCCCAAAGAAAGAGCCCCCAGTACCCATTGTATAGGAGGAGGCTGGGTGGGCCCCAGAGCCAGTCTGGACCATGTGGAGAAGAGAAATTCTTGACCCTACCAGGACTTTAACTATGATTCCTCTGTCATCTAGCATGTAGCAAGTTGCTATACCAACTACACTAGCCCGGCTCAATGTATGAGGGGTAGGCCATAATAATTCGGACCTTGCACCTTGACCATCAATGATCTATTGTGCTTCCCCTTTGATTAACCACTTATCAATCCTATACTTCGAATGAAACATATGACTTTGTTTATAGGGGCGTCATACCTGTAGTAGTCACTTGGTTCCATAAATAACTAGCCCAGGTGCCAAAATCTTAAGTAAGCTATGGCCTCACAATCACACAGGATATGTGTGACTGGCTAATTCATCTTCTTCTAGGCAAGTTGCATTCACAAGTGGGGTCATCTGTCAATCCTAGTTTGAAAATGTGTCCTTTTAGGTGACAAGTGTCCTGTAAAGAGTCCTACCACCCATCTTAACTGGTCTCTGTTTAACTTCAACAGATTCTTTGTTGTTCTGGCAGAAGGCCCTAGTGTAAGTCCCTTTGCTTGTCTGAGTCAAGTTACGGATTACAGATGTTTTCTGTGATTCCTGTTCATCCAGTCCCTCACCGCTTTCTCGACAACTTCAATTGAGATGCCGCAAGCTGGTTCAGGACCTATGAACAGATATTTAGATCCCATTCTTGCCAGCTATTCTGCCATTTCATTAGCAACAATACCCTCATGACCTGGCACCCATAGCAGTTGAACTCTGTTATGTTTGGCCAGGTGTATGAGAGACTGATGGCAGTCCCAGAGCAGTTTTGAGGTGATCTTGTATTTTCCGAGTGCTTTAATTGCAGCTTGAATGTCTGATAGAATGTAGATGTTTCTGTTTTCATAGCTTCTATCTACATTCTCAACTGTTCATGTCTTAATTGCATACACTTCTGCCTGGAATACTGCTATGTACTGCCCAGGGCTGAAACTGAGTTTCCGCCTTGTTTTCTCAGGAGAAAGATGGATTTGAATGTAGTCAACTTTCCTTGGGAAGTTGAAACCCAACAAGCCTTTCAGCATTTAAGCTTCCCCAAAAATTTAAACATATTAAATACAAAAAGAATTCACTACTTTCCTAATCTTTCGTTCATTTACAGTACTTAAAGCAAAAAAAAAAAAAAAAGATTGCCTGATTGTTCCAACTGTAAAACATTACTACAGATTTTTGTCCTCTACATTTTCTGCATGATATTTGTACGCATAATAAAATCAGGATGTGTAATTAACCTAACCTTTTATAGGACAGAGAAAGTTTCCTTCCAATTAACTGCCCATTTGATTCTCTTTACACTCGATCAATTACAATGCCTATACTATACAGCCTCAATGGCATGACACAGTCTCCTCCAACTATCAAATCATTACACAAAACTAGAAATAACGCCCTGGCCTTAATAAAACAGTGCATGTTATAGAAAAGAAAAACAGTGGTTATAAAGATATCCCTTGAAGAAATCTGTAAAACTGGGTAGAAACTCACTCTCAGTGCGCCTGAAGAACCCCTCCTGTCTTTCTCGAAGAAACAAGACGCCCTCCTTGTCAAATTTCTGAGACGGCTGCGTGGCTAGAGTAGTCAGTTCCTGTTTGTTGAACCTCATTGTCAAGAATGATGTTGCTGCAAAAAAACGGTATAAATTGACACATTTTTCAGAAGCTTTTCAGAAAATGACCTTGAACACGATCCGTTGGAAACTTCTATACCTTGTGCACGGTCCCTGAAGGTGTCATCAGTGAAGTAAATTCTTAATGTTTATGTATGTACGCATCAATCAATTACGAATAAAATACTTTCTTTCTAAGACCTACTACGAAGATAATGAACATAACTACCAGACGCCATGGGATATTTATATAGTATTAGATCGACTGCTCGCAAATGGCACAGCTGAGAAGGACGCGCCTCCTTTGAACTTGCGATTCGGGCGGAGGTCGTCAAACACCTCCCACTTGGGCGTGCCGCCTTCCAAATCCAGGTATCAGAAGATTAATATAATTTGCTCTCAATTGTCAAAATTAAAATTGCAGTATAAGGAGCTTAAATCCAAAATGGACTGCCTCCCAGTTTACCCATTAAATGAAATATATATATAATCTACTTCCACATATACGTTTCATCAACGAGAAAATACAGCGATTACTATAAAATAGAAGGAGTTGGATGGGACATGTAGTAGCTTACAGGAAACGAGAAATTCATTAAACAAGTTGGTGGGAAGACCTGGAAATAGTGGCAGTTCTGTGGTGAATCTTACGAAAATAAGATATAAAGATGTGAACTGGATTCATCTGGCTCAGGACAAAGTCTGCTGATAGAGCTGATAAACCTGCAGGTTCCATAATATTAAGTAATGTCGTTATCAAATGAATTATTATCACTTCTTCAAAAAACAGATTGCACCGACATGAGCAACGCCAGGGTTTTTTTTATCCAGTGGGGCAATTAGAGGAACTGCTTACAGGCTTAGGTGTAAGCCATTTATAGCCCTTTTTACTGACCACTCTACAGTATGATTTTAATTTGTATTGTTTGGTATATTTTCTTCTTTCCTTCAATTCTGATTTGATTCTAAATTCTTGAGCGAAGATATCAGATTCTTGCCCCTTCCTTCATTTGGTGCCCTTGCGTACCAAAAAGTTAATTTATAAAAGCGCTTCACATTTTGCCTGTGGCACGTGCAACTCTGACAGAAAACTTTGCTGTACATGTGACCCACATGACATTATTAACTACTTTGAATAACACCTCTCAAATACCCAAGCATGTAATTCGCTAAGAAGTTGTGATGCGAGAAATATTCATCTTTTTTAAGTTTGAACCGTAACTATTTGCTCTGCCTCCAATAAAGCATGGGGTCTTATATGATTAATGAAAATAATTCAAGTAATTGAAATTCCACTGAGAACAACAAAATAATTCTTATTTTTATAAAGATTATTATAAAAACTGCTTTCAATGGTTAATAATTCATGCAACTGAAATTCTTTTTTTATTATTATTATTATTATTATTATTATTATTGATATTTGATAATTTACATCTTTTCTTCAATTTTGATTCTCTCTTCGAAAATCCAGGGGGGAGGGAGACAGAGGCCTGGATCCCCCTCCTGTGGTGGTAAGCATGTGTACCGCAGAATTAGCCTAAGCAACTTGGCTGAAGTCATGGTAATTTGAAACTGGTTGGCTTTTTGATTCGTATGAATTGTAGCATGTTTAAAACTAAGCTTTGAGACTTCATTCGTTTCATTCATACAAAATACCTCACTGCCCCGAATATTTTAGTATTCAATCAATCAATCAATTTATTTGTTCCGAGAATCCATATTTGGGGATACAACTTCAGGATACAGAACAAGTCAATTCATACCACATTCTCTGAGGAACACTGATTATACCAATATTTCAAATGGGTATAGCTATAGTAAACTAAACTAACACAGAATGACTCCCGCCATGTAATGGTCAGACTTCGGGATTGTATTCTAGGGGCCATTTGAAGCAAAATATATAGTAGTTCCCTACGTTACCGTTTTCGAGTACAGCGCTAGTGTATCACAGTGCTGAAAACAAAACAAACTGTAGTTGGAACTACTTTATTATTAGCTTAGGGATACACATTTAACTACAATTAACATCACTAACTGACGCTACCACGTGCCCCATTCAAAGCAACAAAAAAATTAAAATAACATAATGAAAGACAAGTAGATAACCAGAAAAAAATCCCACCACCAGAACATACACAAACATAAAACATAACCGGAAAGAATTCCATAACCGAAAATAGAACTTAACAACAACAACAATAACAACAAAAGAACGCGACAACCCACAAAGCAACAAGTAAAAATAGCCATTAGTTAATGGCCACATGCAACATATACAAAAAAAAAAGAGACAACCTAAACATCTACGAAAGGAAAGCGAAAACATTTTACATTTAAAGGGCTTCAAAATAGTTTAATAACATTATATATTTATATATATACATTTACATATTATATTTAATTGCTTTAATAAATTAAAAAAAGGCATGTATGTAAGGGACGTAAGAAGTTCCATGATACAAAAGTTATCGACTGCAAACATTGGTCAATGTAAGATAGGGGCAGTCAAGCTAACAGTAAATGCATATTACCCGATTATGGTCGAAACTTGTAGTACTTAATACTAAACGTAAAATATACCTACAGAGAAAGTTGTTCGGACGGAAATAAATAAAATTATATTTATATTATTGGGGCACGCGGTAGCGTAGTTGATTGAGGGGCTATGCTACAAGCCGGAAGGTCGCGGGTTCAAGTCCAGCTGAGGTCATTGAATTTTTTCAATTGGCCTAATCCTTCCAGCCGCACTATGACCCTGGGGTTCACTCAACCTCTAACAGAAATGAGTACCAGGAATTAATTAAATAATTTTCCTGTGAAGTAAAGCGCGGCCTGCGCGTAAGGCTGACAACCTTACCGCCATCTTTGAGCCGATTGTCTAGATGGTCTAGATAATGTGGGACCCTCAACGTCTCACACGCCTATGGGCCTTCACGGCCTGTTACAGGGATAGCTTTTACTTTTACATTTATATTATTATAGAATTCCATTTCATTTTTCAGCAGTTCTTTCCTTTACGGGCTACAAAAACCGGTGCCTTATTTGCAGGTTTTGAGCATAGCACACCGTAGACTTTGTTCAGTCTCATGAATTGTAAGTCAATCTGTTTCATGTCTGGCGAGCTTATTGGCCAAGCAACTGTTGTGCGCCATCCTCACCAAATTCCTTGACCACATGCGTTCAAGCAACCGCTGTAATCTGTTTTCCGAAATGTGGAGGCACTCCATCGTCTTGTATCAGCATTTATCTTATTGTTTGAAGAGGACGATTTTGTACATGAAGTTGTAGATCGTTCTCAATATAATATCAATAAGAAGCAGTTGCCCAGTATCTATCAATAAAATGCGTACCACAAAGAAGGCTGTCCACTTCTTCCATATCGTATGTTTCCCGGAGCCTGTATCGAAATTACTTAACACTGCCTCATACGCGTTGTCTTGGCAAGTTTCTTGTGTCCATGATTTAATACTGTAAAATTAAACCTCGTCCGTGAAGTAAATGTAATTCATCAACTATGACTGTGCGTCTTACTCTTTCCATAATAAGTTTTGCCATCCTAAACTTGTACTAGAGTCTAACAAACATATCTTTATATACAACTATTTTGGAAAGTTGTTAATATATTTGAACTATTTACGTTCCTTTTTTGTGACGAATTGTTACCAAAAAAGATTTGTATTTCAAATTTTATTCAAGTTTTGTACATTGTAGCGAGAAATATATAGAGAGAATATAACCTGAAATGAGATTAAATTTATATGGTTGAATTCTTCGAAGATACAAGAAACTGCTTGGGCTAATTTCGGTCTCCTCTATACCAACTACACTGTAAATGTAACATGTCTGGTAAGTATGTATATGCTGCACTCTCGTGAAAGTTGTTGTAATCATAGAAAGAATTATGCACTTCAGCCTACTAACCGTGGTCGTAGCCAACTGCAGCATTTCTCGAAGCATGCGGAAGTAATGATAAGATCTAAAAGTAGTGATTTTCATTTCTTTAGTTTGGTAGCGGTATCGATTTTTCCCGCCCAGTCGCTCCAGTGCTCCGGTGCGTTCACGAGTTCACGAGTTGTAACCGGTATAAAATTTGAAAGGGTCAGAAGCAGTCAAAAGCGGTGGTTTAGTGAGGGTTGTTTGTTGCAAGGAAGTTCCGCGGAAATTCATTCATTATGTCTTGGTTACCACTGGAATCTAATCCTGATGTAAGAGCACATTTGTTGCAGTTTTTATTGTAGTTTTTGTGTTTAAATAGTTTTCGCTGTATAATTACTAATTTTTTACTCTTCGTTGCAGGTTATGAACAAGGTGAGTTTCAAGAATTGCGGCGTCCTTGCATAGAAACTTGGTAAAATACATCACAGTATCTAATATAACTCCACGAATTGTTCACTGACTACATTTTCTTCTAATCCAATCCTTTACGTTTTGAGTGATCTAAATTGAAATATTTAGTAGGCTAATGCCTAAGAGAGATTTGAATAGCCCCCTAGCGGTGGAATGCCTTTTTATGTTTTCTTTTAGTCAGCATGAAGGCATGTATATTACTCCATATGTACGTATTTTGTGGTTGCTTTCACGAAAAATTGACACGTGATAAAAACCCAGAGAATATTTTTATGATGAATATTTTACATTTTTACACGATAGCTGTGCACAAGTATTCATTTAATTTTTTTATCCTGTAGATCAAAATACATACATATAGGACAAGTCCATCAATATTATTATGGTATAAACTTATTAGAAATAAAGCTTATTCTATACATCTGCCTGTCAGTAGCCAATGTTACAGAATTCTTCATTGAGATAATCTTATGTTGAATATCACTTTTTTTTATTGCTAGTGGGGTGGGACTAAGTCCCTTGTACAGTGGCCACTTCTGGCCTATTGTACCAGCCCCAGATGATAAGTGAGGGTGATTGTGGAGCAATTGGTGAAATGAAGATTGGCAGGGGAAACTGAAGTACTCTTGAGGAAACCTGCCCCAGTGCCACTTTGTCCACCACAAATCCCACTTGACCAGACCCGGGATCGAACCTGGGCTGCCGCAGTGGGAAGCCAGCAACTCACCGCATAATATCACTTAATAAGTAAGTCCTTCAATTCCGTTTCAAGCTGGTGGTGGTTAGGCGATTTGTTGTAGAAGATACAACCTGCTACTGATTGGTCACTGTTATGAAGTTCTAAATTATATACATACCTATGATAGTCATTATTTCTTGTGTTATATGTATATACTTGTTTATTTACAATGCAATTACACTTTTCTTTGGCATATAAGATTGTTTTTTGAATGTATAATCTGTATACTGTTAATATCTTTAGTCATCTCTACATGATTGCAGTTGTTTTAACACTGCCATTTGCCATACAGCGCCTTTTTATTTTGGAGGGTAAATATTCTTCTAGTTAGTGCCTTTGCACTCTGTCCCCATACAGTGATTCCATATGCCAGAAAGGGGTAAATCAAGCCATAATACAGAATTCATCTTACATTCGTATCACGTATTTTAGATATATGTATGTATGTATGTGTGAAAGGGGTGGGCCATAAAATCCGGCCCTTGCACTCTGACCTTCAGTGATCTATTGTGTTTCATGTTTGGATCAATCCTCTACTAGTCCTATACTTTGAATGAAATGTAGGACTTTATTTATGGGGGCATCATAAAAGTCACTTGGTTCCATGAAGAACTGACCCAGGTGACAAAATCTTAAGTAAGCTGTGGCCTCACAATCACATAGGATGTGTGGGGCACCTTGTAGGCACCTTTCACAGGTTCATTCATCTATCAGTCCCAGTTTGAAAAGGTGTCCTTTTAGGTGGCACTGTCCAGTAAAAGTATTTTAGATAGTCTGTTGATTATAAATACATTACAGCTAATTATGGTACAAGTTTTTTTATCAATATGTACTTCCCAGTTCAGGTTACTGTCAGTTATAACCCCCAAAAAATTAGTACTTGTTTATATTAACTTTCCCTATTCCTTATTAGGATTTTTAGTTCACTTTCCTGTCTGCACTGCTTCATCTGGAAGAGAATGTAGTGTTCTGCTTAGATTTACAGATAAATTGTTTCAAAATATTTGCTTTGTTAAGCCTCTATTTTCTGAGGTTGTTTTTTTGGAGTTCATTAATATCCTGTCCTATATTCAGTATTAATGAACATCTTATATGAAATTGGAGAGTGGCCCAAGGACTTTACAGAAGTTACAATGATTGCCTTAAAAAGACAAAAGCTATAAAATGCAGCGACCATCGCACAATAAGCCTTATTGCACATACAGCAAAGATACTCAAAAGAAGAATTGAAAGGAAAATAGAGGATATACTTGGAGAAGATCAGTTTGGATTTAGAAGAGGAAAAGGAACCAGGATGCAATTGGGATGATGAGAATTATAGCAGAACGAACTTTGGAGATAGATGAAGAACTGTGTATTTGCTTCATAGACTGGCAGAAGGCATTTGACCATGTAAACTGGACCAAATTAATGCAGATCCTAAAGGAAACAGGTATCGATTGGCGTGAAAGAAGATTGATTAGCAAATTGTACATGGATCAGAAAGTTAAGAGTATGACTGGACAGAGGGGAGACAAGAAGCGTGCAGATTGGAAGAGGAGTTCGACAAGGATGCTGTTTATCACCAATTCTGTTCAACTTGTACAGCGAATGCCTTACAAAGGAAGCTCTGGATGGGCTTGGAGACTTCAAATTAGGAGGGCAAATTATTCAAACTGAAATATGCAGATGACCTTGTGTTAATCGCTAAGGAAGAAACTGTGCTACAGGGCATTATTGATAGACTAATTGAAATTGGAAGGTGCTGTGGCATGGAAATGAATGTGAAGAAAACAAAAGTAAAGAAAATTTCGAGACAACCAACCCCAGTCACAATAAAGATAGACCAAAAACAACTGGAGAATGTGAAATGTTTTAAATATTTGGGTAGCTTGTTAACAGATGATGGAAGGTGTGTGTGTGAAATTAAATCTAGGATTGCCATGGCAAAAGCTGCATTTAGTAAGAAGAAGAATCTTTTTACCAGCAAATTGGACTTAAATTTGAGGAAGAAACTAGTGAAATGCTACATTTGGAGCATAGCTCTGTATGGGGCTGAAACATGGACACTTAGGGCAGTAGATCAGAAACATCTGGAAAGTTTCGAAATGTGGTGTTGGAGAAGGATGGAGAAGATCAGTTGGACCGATTATGTGAGAAATGAAGAAGTGTTAATTAGAGTCAGNATACTGTCATTTGAAGGAGAAAGCTCTAGGTCGCATTAAGTGGAGGAATTGTTTTGGAAGAGACTGTGGACCTGTCGTCTGACAGATTACTGATGATGATGATTCAGTATTGCTGTGTTGTCAAAATACATTAGTGTTCTGCCTTGTGTTAGATGCGGTACATCATTTACATATGAAATGGGAAGTAATGGACCAAGAACAGAACCTTGAGGAACTCCATATCTAACTGGAAGGCTTCTTAACAAATATTCTTACAGTTTATCGTTTGCAGTGTCACTACTACATGTAGTAAAGATAAGCAGCGGCACGCACACAGGGAGCCTACACAGAATAACAGTGCTGAAAACAAGAAGTAGCTGCTGCAGCACTACGGACATAGGGCAAATAACCCTGAGAATTTTAATTTTTAAAAGAATTTTTAAATTAGAACTGAAGATTTTAAAAATGCCAGTTCATAATAATCAAAATTGACGAGTGTAGGTAACAAAGATAATGCACAAATCAGACAGATATCAGCGAAGTAGATTCTAATAAATCGAAACCTGTTAGTAACAACGAAAAGAACAATTGGGAAGACTCGTGGTTTTAAATTTTAAACTAAGTGCAGTGTAACAGCTACGTAAGTGTATACACCTGGTGATGGCCGTTTGTGGCCGAAACATGTAGTGTAGAAGAGAGCAAGACAAAAGAACTACAATAAATTGTTGCACTTGGGACGGTGTTTATGTCATATATTGTATAGAGTGCAACAGGATGCTTAAATATAATTCTGTATTCAGATTTTCAATAATTATGGCAATACCATCTTTTGTGTACTTCCCAAATCCAAACTGAGATTTATTAAGTATCTTGTGTTTGTCTAAAAAAAATAGCTGATTTACTGTTACTTTTCCCAGAATCTTGGAAAGAGTTGGGACGAGACTAATTGGATGATAATTGTTTGCATGTTCTTTTGTCCCATTTTTATAAATTGGTTTAACTACTGATTTTCTCAAAGTGGATGAGAAGATACATTCTCTGATTGATGCAGTGACCAATTCTAAATATGGCTTTAATGTTTATTTCTTTATTAAATAATGTGAGATGTCATCAAGTCTGGCCAGTTTTTGACTTTTCAAACTGTGGACTAAATTAGTCAGTTCACTCTCTGTTATTTATAATAGAACAAATTAAACTTTTTGGCTTATTGTGTTATTACTAGTATGTGAATGCATTAAGTTTTTGTCAAGTAAGGGTATATTTACTGTTTCTAGAAGGGTAACGTTAGATGTGTTACATATTCCGCTTGGACTCGAGATTGTTTCATTTTCCATTCGTAGGTGTGTACTACAAGTCAGTGTATTATTATTCAGAAAACATCTTTCTCTGTTTAATAATTTCCAAAATACTGAAGAGTGTTATCTGAACTGGTTATGCTGAATGTAGTTTGTTTTTGCAGTTTTTTACAACATTATATTTCTTTTTATGTGCATTTTATTTATGTCACTGTTCCTAAATCCTACTTTGCATATAGAATAGACTCCATGGTTTCAGTCTGCAAGCAAACTATACTGACCGAGCGACCACTGCCTGTCAGTGAAGTCAGTGCCAACTTTAACAGATAGAGGGTGTTGTGTGGTCAGTGCAATGGATCCCCACAGCTGTTAATCTCAGTTTTCTAGACCAGAGCGGCTATTTCCTTGAAAGAGCTCCTCAGTTATCCCCACGAGTCTGAGTGAACCCTGTTCCAGACCCGCTACATCTCAGAAAATCTGGTAGCGGTGGTGCCTCATCTTACAAAGTATTGTCCATTCTGTAGGGAATGTAAACAATGACTGATTTGGTGATGTATGGTAAAAGTCAATGCATCACCAAATCAGTCGTTTATATTCCCTACAGAACGGACAATACTTTGTAAGATGAGGCACTGACTAAATAGTAAGTAAATAGTACACTGTATCTTCAATATCAAAGTCAGTTGTTGATTATAACAAAATTTAACACTATTACTTTCATATCATTTACAGATTAACTTTAATATTACTACATCCACATCATGAGCCTCCAATAACAGTTTATTATATATACACAAAATATAGAATACTCCAATTTGTCCTTGGGAACACAACAAAATCACAAAAACCGGCGACTGACTCGATGATGTAAAGCATCAATCGAAGAATTTTATTCTTGTTTTATTCTATAACTTTTGTTTTATATAATCTAATTTATTGTATTTTTACGCCAAGTATTTTAATATAAATATTATTGTATCCAATTTTATTAGTACTGCAGTTCATTGGTGTATATATGTTAGCCATGTATTTGCCTGATGATGGCTTTTAATAGCCAAAACACGTAGCAGAGCCAAACTAGACACTGACCTTAATGTAGTTGGGTTGTGACAGTTTTAATAAAGAAATTGAATCTCAGTCTATGTTGCTCCCTTAATGTCAGAAACCAAGTTTCACACCCGTACAGAACCACAGGCAAAATTATGGTTTTGTGTATTCTAATGTTTATGTTCTTAGATAGACATGAAGACAAAAAGTTCTGGACTGAATTGTAGGAAGTATTACCCAAATTCAGTCTCCTCCTAATTTCCTCCTGAATCAGGTTTTGATTTGTTATAGTCATTCCCAGGGAGCTTACCATAGTGTAGTTAGTTAGGCACTATGCTACAAGCTGGCAGGTTGCGGGTTTGAATCCTGATGACATCATTGGATTTTTCAGATTATCTAATCCTTCCAGTTGCACTATGGCCCTGGGGTAGGCTGAGCCTCTTAGCAGAAATGAGTACGAGGAATATTCCTGGGGGGTAAAGGGTGGCTGGTGCGTAAGGCTGACATCTTTAATGCCATCTGTTTGCCGATTGTCTGGAAGATGTGGGAACCTCGACATCTCACAAGTCTATGGACCTTCATGGCCTCTTACAGGGACAGCTTTAACCTTTTTTATTGTCATTCCCAAATATCTGAACTGTGCCACAATTTCAAAACATCTGTTACCTAACTTTATGTCATGATTTTGCCCTGCATCTGGTGACGAGACAGCAACATATACTTCATTTTCTCTGTTTTCTTCTATACCAACCTCCTTACTAGTGTCAGTTTAAGTTTGTGTGTTTTTCTTTATGGTATCTATATTATTACTCAGTAGATTCATGTCATCAGCATAGACACAACAGCTGATGTGTCCCATTTAACTTCAGTCCTATCTGGTTTTCCTGGTCCTTCATAATGGCATAATATAAAGTAAAGTTGAACAGCAATGGCCATAAATCATCCACTTGTTTTAGATCATTCTGTATAGGAAAATTAACAGACAGATGTTTACTTATATGGACTTTACTATACATTTCATTTAAACACATTTTAATCAGCCTAACTAGTTTCATGGGTACCCAAGACTCTGTGAGAATATTGTACAATGCCCTCGTAACTGACTCATAGGCTTTCTTGAAGTCTACGAAGAGCTGATGTACTGTCTCATTGTACTCCCATTTTTTCTCCAGTATCTTAGGATTGCAAAAGATCTGATCAGTAGTTGATCTGTTATGTTGAAACCCACACTGATGATCCCCAAGAATATTAGATAAAATTTTGTATGAAGTTGATAGCAGTGATATCCCACAATAATTATGACAGTCATTTCTATCACCCTTCTTGTGAACTGGTATGGTAATAGACTCCTTCCACTGATCAGGCAATTTTTCCTTATGCCAAATAGAAGTAATTAGCTTATGGATCTTAGAATGTAATATTTTTCCTCATACAAGTTCTGCCAGGATTTGATCACTACCTGGTGATTTATATCTTTTCAATTTTGCAATAGCACTTTCAACCTCAAAAGGCCTAGGATCAGGTATTAACGGCTCAGCTGTATCAATTTCTGTCTGCCTAACATCACTGACCCTATGTACATTCAATAACTGAGAGAAGTAATTCTTCCACCTATTCAAAATGTTGTGGGAATCTACAAGCAGATCACCATTCTCATCCTTCACTAAGTTACTTCTAGGTTTGTAACCCCTCTTGAAGTCATTTATTCCTCTCTACAGGTCTTTAATTGTCTTGTTCTTACTGTTCATTTCTAGCTCACCCAATTTTGTCTTTCAGATATTCCCTCTTTTTATTCCTGAAATGCGTGCTGGTTTCACATCTTATATTGTTCAGCTTATCCCCATTTATTTCGCTTGGATCCTGTAATCATTGCAGTTTGTTTGTTTTCTTGGGTCTAATAATATTGAGCATCCTTCATCGAACTGTGGCATACGCTTCTTCAGTTCAGAATAACCTAGACTCTCCTTGGCAGATTTTTTTTTCTTTTGCTAAATCTCTATTATACTCTTTGGGAACATGGCCACTGTTACTCTCATTGCAGTACCTGTACAGCCTAGGTGTCCCTGAGAAGTGGCAAATGGTAGATGTGTATGGACTGGACCCAGAACTTCTTGCCACTGTTCCTCGACCTGTTTTGGCAGTGGTGTTGCTGTTTCCATGCTCTGACAAGGTATGTGGCTTAATGTTGCACAGAAGCTTTTATCTTTAACTGTTTGCAGTGTGAATGGTTTAGGTGATGCAGGGGTAGGGTGCTATCCTGTGCAGAAGGTCTCCAGTTTGATATTTTCATAAAATATGAGGGGGACCCAAAAATAAACGGAAACGACCTGTTGCGCGCGCATGGTTTGTAGTTATGAGTTGTGCTGCTAGGTGGTGTTAGCTGGGGGTCTCCCGCGACTGTTAGTAAGCTGGCGTCAGTCTGAGTTAAGTGGTTTGTCTGTGGTGCTCTGTTGTGTACGTTCCTGTTTCAACCCTTTGGCGATTAGTGAGATGGCTGACCAGAAGGAACAAAGAGTGCGTGAAATTGATGAAGATTGTCGAAAGACCATTGACCAACTTTCTGAGGAAACGAACATCTCATGGAGCACGGTCCAGCGAATTTTAACCGAAGGTTTGCACATGAGACGGGTGTCTGCAAAATTTGTTCCTCGCTTGCTCGGAGATGACCAAAGAGAAAACCGCGTGAATGTTTGCCGCGACTTGAAGAGTGAAGTGCAGTTTTCCCTAACAGAAAGCAAAATTTCACGCACACTCTTTGTTCCTTCTGGTCGGCCATCTCACTAATCGCCAAAGGGTTGAAACAGGAACGCACACAACAGAGCACCACAGACAAACCACTTAACTCAGACTGACGCCAGCTCACTAACAGTCGCGGGAGACCCCCAGCTAACACCACCTAGCAGCACAAGTCGTGACTACAAAGCATGCGCGCGCAACAGGTCGTTTCCGGTTGTTTTTGGGTCCCCCTTCGTATATACAATATACAATACAAGTTAACAAAACAAATCTACAAAGTTACAAGCATACTACCAACATTTGTTACAATCATAAGCAATATATAAATACAACATTTAAAAAAATACACCAACTACTATATACAGCACATGAATGGCTATGACATACAAACATAAGTACTTGCACCATCCACTTTTTTATTAAAACTAACAAATTCATTTATCATATAAAAAGAATGTTTCAGTAGAAAGGATTTTAAGTTATTCATGCATTTCATGTTTGGATTGGAGAATGTATTGTGGAATGTACAGAGTGTATGGATGGTTTATCTTGAGGTCAGTGTTTGTTTATGTATCACTGGTTTCAGTATGATGAGTATAAGGCTGTACAGGAAGCAGAAATTGAGGAGAAAGGCCAGAGTGTGTCTGAAAATATATATTACCTGAAGCAGGTTGTTACGAATGCTTGTGGGACCATTGCTCTTATCCACAGTGTTGCAAACAATGTTGACAAGTAAGTACAAAATTGAATTCATTTCCATAATACATGTATTGCTGAATTGTCTTTAATTTGAACCTACCCTTTGGACCAAAATTTGGTTGAGGCACTATGCTACAAGACTGAAGGTTGTGGGTTCAACTCCCAATGAGGTTATTGGATTTTTCAATTTATCTAATCCTTCCAGCCATACTATGGCCCTGAGGTCCGCTCATTCTTTAACAGAAATGAGTACCAGGAATCTTTCTGGGGGTGAAGGGCGGCTGGCATGTTAGGCTGATGTCACCGCTGTCTGTGAGCCAGTTCTCTACAAAATGTGGGGAGCCTCAATGTCTCACAACCCTATAGACCTTCATGGCCTGTTGCGGGGATAGCTTTACCTTTGACTCAGTGAAAAATGCAGTTCTGCACATTATTGCAGGCCAGTATCAGACTGTAGTGATGATAGTAACCTAAGTCTGGCGTTCTTCCTAATTCAGCATGTAAAAAATGGGTTGTAATAATTGTTTACAGTTTTTTAAGAATAGGACAGATGAACAATGAATATATTTTTATTGAGGGCAGTACAGCTGTTTCATTGTGTCAACTCTTGTTTATCATGTATCAGCAACTGCATGTATGACAGCATTCATGAATACATGAGTGTTTTTCTTTTTAGCGGTAGTACTGTTTCATTTCTAGACTGGGTAATGAGTAGCCTACAAGTACAGCTGTTTCACAGTGTCAAGGTGGCACAGGAAATACCAAACATTCATTCATTAAGCTGAGCTCTTCTTGAGAAGCCACAAGTTATGCAGCTACTCAAGAACTTCTCAGCATTTCATGTAATCCAAAGGTTCATTACCATGTACACAAGAGTCCTCCACTGGTCATTATCCTCAGTCAGATTGATCCAGTCCATACCATCCCATCCTGTCTCTCTAAGATCCATTTTCTTATATTGTCCACCTACCTATGTCTTGGTCTTCCTAGTAGTGTCTTTCCTTCTAACTTCCCACCAATATCCTATATGCACTCCACTTCTCTCCACTTTGTGCTACATGCCCTGCCCATCTCATTCTCCTTGACTTGGTCAATCTAATTATACTTGGCAAAGAGCACAAGTTATGAAGCTCCTCATTATGCAGTTATCCTCAACCTCTGGTCACTCAAGCTTCACACTCATACAGAACCACAGGCAAAATTATAGTTTTGTATATTCTAATTTTTATGTTTTTAGATAGTAGACGAGAAGACAAAAGTTTCTGGACTGAATGGTAGGAAGCATTACCCGAATTCAGTCTCATCTTAATTTCCTCCTGAATCAGGTTTTGACCATGCACACACCTTATTTTTAAAGAATGAGTATTCACTTTCTTTAACTCTAATAACTATAAATACACTCAAGTCTCGATTATCGGGGATAGTGGTGGGGATGGAAATTACAATTAATCGAAAACCCAGTTAAGACAAATTTTATTAAAAGTAGTACTGTAATACTGTACCTTCATAATACTATAGGCCTACCTGTATTTAAATTTATTCAACCTAATTTTTATGTCATCTCATGGCCTATTTAATACTTTTTTTTTACATTACACTGAAGTGTGAATTAGTTATTTCAATCACAGTGTTCAACAACATCCAACACTTTTTACGAATATTCACACTTAACAGTTTAAAAAATTTAATATTGTCGTTTGCTTTTTTGTGGCATTTTCCTTTTTACGGATATCTGTACTCTTACCGCCCTCGTCTTCGTTCGCCTACACGTTCGGCGCCACTTCTTACCGTCCTTACCGTTCGCCTACACGTTCGGCGCCACTTCTTACCGCCCTCCTCTTCTTCGTCCTTACTGCTCAGTGAGACTTCAAGCCTCACGAGTTGGTCGTCCCTTACCTGCCCTTCACGTTCGCACCTTTGTGGTCTGCCCTTTTATCCGCCGCTTCCTTGTAGCTGTCTGATTCAGGGTAGGGTGTGGGATTGCTCTGAATACTTGAATTTTTATGGGCGCCAGTGGACTTGGGTGAAATCCACGAGTTTGGAACGGGGAAAACAAAGGTGGGGATATGGATAGGCGGACGTTTGGGGTTCCGACTGCTCAGAAGGTAGGACGAGATTCTGTCTCAGGGCGACTTCTGGGCCTTGCTCACACAAGGAGAGAGAGAACACTGAAAAAAACTCGCATTTCACCAACACTGTTGCTTTTATTGTTAGTGTTCGCTAGAGTTACACATTACGAGGCCCTAGCACTTGGACTTTGTACACCAGTTTAACATCCGGGAGGTTACTACTGTTACTCCCTTTGGCAACTCACTCCAGTTACTCACTATCCATGACTAACCACTCTTATTCCCTTGTAAAGA